GGGGGTGCTGAGAGAAGGTTTGTACCTGCTTCAAAATGGTCAACTCTATGGTCTTGCTACAATTATCTCTAAAGCTAGAGGATAAGCTATTTTGTGACATGAGCATTTAGGTCATCATAGTTTCACTACTGTCAGTCGTCTTGGAAGAGAGTTTGCTCTACCTAATTTTGTTGATAATTTATCTCCTGGTTCACTGTGTTCTTCTTGTTAGTTAGGAAAACAATATGAGTCTACACTTGACTCTTCTAATGGAAAGGCTAATGCTCGTCTTGATTTAATTCACAGTGATGTTTGCCTCAGTTACTTCCTTATCAGGTTCTTAATTTTATGTTATTTTTGTGGATGATTATACTCGATTTACTTGGACATATTTTTTGAAGCAAAAATCTGATTGTGTTTAATTGTTTTGTTAAATTTCACACTTATGTTGAGCATCAATTTGCTTGCAAACTCAAGGCTTTTAGATCTGATGGTGGAAGTGAATTTACCTCTCATGTTTTTAAAGAATATTTGAGTCAGCGGGGAACTCATCATCAATATTATTATCCGTACACTCCAGCACAAAATGGTGTTGCTGAGCGTAAGCACTGTCACATTATTGAGAGTAGTCTTTCGATGATATATGCAAGTGGTCTACCTCAATTCCTTTGGCCCGAAACCTTTTCCACTATTGTATATCTCATTAACAGATTTTCAAGCTCTACATTGTCATTCATATCTCTCTTTCAAAAGCTCTTTTGTAGTAAACTATATTACTCTTTTTTCGGGGTAATTGGATGTGTATGCTTCTCACATATTTATTCCTCTCAAAGAAATAAATTTTCTTCTAAGGCTTAAGAGTGTGGGTTTATTGGATACAACTTCGAACATAAAAGGTTGCATAACATGATACTTTTTCATTGCAAGACATGTAACATTTGATGAAACTATGTTATAATTTAAGAACCAGTGTTCCCAATTTGACACAAATAGCATGTCAAATAATGTGTCTGCACCTATTTCAATGCCTAAAGTTACAGATGAACCATCTCAGAAACATCACCCTCATCAGTCATCGCCTCATTCTAACAGATCTGATCAACAACCTATTTCCTCGACAGATGTTTCATCACTTTCTTTTTCTTCTCCTATTTCAAACTTAGATGCATCTTCCATAGTGTAACGTGATTTATCTCAATGAGCAGTTTCGCCTATACCATCACGCCGTTCCTCTCGCTCCACACAACCTCGTAGATATTTGTCAGACTACCAGATTTACTCTGCAACCGTTTCTTCTCCTGACACCATTTCCAAAACCTTAAGAACAAAATACCACATTGAAAGTTATACCTCGGGGAGAGAGATTGTCTTTCGATCATCATGCATTTGCAATACAAATTTCTCAAATTCGAGAACCAACCACCTATAAGGAAGCTATCTCTGACACGTGATGGCTGGCCTCAATGAAATAAGATATTCATGCACTTAAAAGGAATCACACTTGGGAATTAGGGCCATTGCCTCGATGCAAAAATGTAGTGGGCTCAAAATGGCTGTACAAAGTTAAAGTTAGATCAGATGGCTCAGTTGAAAGGTTGAAATCCAGACTAGTGGCCAAGGGCTTTAGTCAAGAATATGACATTGATTATGATGAAACTTTCAGTCTAGTTGTGAAGGCACCCACTATTTGATCCATCATGGCTCTGTCATCTATGTTTAATTGAAAACTCTATCAACTTGATGTGAAAAATGCATTCCTTCATGGTGATTTGAAAGAAGAGGTGTACATGCAATAACCCAAAGGATTTGAAGATCCCGTACGACCACATCATGTCTGAAAATTAAAAAGGGCGATTTATAAACACAAACAAGCTCCTCGGGCATGGTTTGAGAAATTCAATTGTCTACTCCATAGTATTGGTTTTCAAATAAGCACGGTTGACTACTCCTTATTTCTTAAAAGATCATCCTCAGGTATTGTTATCCTTCTAATTTATGTGGATGACATCATTGTTATTGAAAATGATATTAAAGGCATTAAACATATTAAGAAAGGATTGAAACCAAACTTTGAAATGAATGATATTGGAGAACTAAAATATTTTTTGGGGATTGAAATTCACGGAACGAAAAAGACATTGTTCTCACCCAACATAAGTATATTATTGACTTACTCTTTAAAACAAGGATGCTACCTCAGCTAAAGTAAATAGGAAGTTAAGGATTGAAGAAGGGGAATTGGTACCTAATCCTTCCTTGTACAGAAGTGTAGTTGGTGGTCTTCAATATCTTACATTTACACGTCCTGACATTACTTATGCAGTGAATACAATATGTCAGTTCATGCAGGCTCCTCGATAACCTCATTGGGAAGCCACAAAAAGGATTTTGAGGTATTTAAAGGGTTTTATACATGATAACTTATTATATACTTCATCTAGTTCACCTGACCTCAAAGCATACTCTGATGCTGATTAGGCTCGGTGCCCTAAGGATCGTAGGTCCATTACAGGATTCTGTATCTTCTTAGGAAATAGTTTGATTTCCTGGAGTAGCAAAAAGAAAGCCTCAGTATCTAAATCCAGTACATAATCAGAATTTAGAGCAATAAGTATTGTCGTGACAAAGATTACTTGGTTACCTATGCTCCTTAAGGAAATTGGTAGTTCCACAATTAAACCAACCATTCTAGCTTGTGATAATCAAAGTGCCATGCGTCTAGCCACCAATCCTATATTCCATGCTTGTACTAAACACATATAAGTTGATTATCAATTCATTAGAAAAAATATTGTATCAGGTGCTATTTCAATGACTTTTGTTCCTTCATCTCATAAACTGGCAAACATGTTCACTAAAGTACTAACTAGATCAAGACACCATGAGTCTACAGACAAACGCTCGATGTACAAGACACATGCTCAGCTTGAGGGGGGTGTTAAGGATGATATTGTCTTTCATAACATTGTATAAGGTATTTGTTCATTCTTTACCCTCAAGGGTATTTTTGTCCACTGTACATATATAAACTAATATGTAAAACTAATTGTTGAGTGGAATGAATGACTCATAGTCTTCTCTTCACTTTCTCTCTCTAGGGTTTCATAAGTTTTACAGTTAAGACATATATTTGACCGATCGTAGAACTTTCGAGGAATATGCGGCTTTGTATGGCAAGCTCCAATCACATAAATACTTTGCTATGGTGTCTCAAAATATTTCATGCAGACATGATGTTGCATGATCACTCACAAGGCCTTCCATCTATCAAGCCTCTATAAATTATGGTAATAATTTAATTAGATCCAGGGCTAATCTCATCCGTTGATTTTATGCATTCCATCTTGATTTGATTTTATGCATTCCATCTTGATTTAGAGTATCCAAAAATCACCCCAACAGGTCTTTGTGTTAAGGGAAAATTATCAAAATACCTAATATAAAACTATTTAGCATTGTACCCACATTGTTTGATTTAATTTCAAAATACCCATAGAAAAACTTATGATCATGAGTGTCAAAAGTGTAAAATTCTCAATAGTATGCCACTCTTCGGTATTTTAAAATGCCTATTTTTGAAGTGTCGACATGGTGCATTTGAAACCCCGGGCATATAAAAAGGATTACTGTATCTAAAACTACTAGAAAATATAGTTCTGTTGTTGAAAAACCATCAAATCAACCATCTTAATCTTGACAATTATGGATATGAAAAAAACAAATTTCAACTCTTGAAAATTGTATCTAGTACCATATTATTTTGACAATTTATTTCCATATCTTTACATATATGCCATATATACATATCCTAGAGCTTAAAATTTAAAAATCAAGGATGCATATAAATTTCAGGCCGTTATTGTATTTTTGGCACTAAAAATATCATTTTCTGACAATTTTTTTTAGGTGGGTTTTACATTAGTTTAAAGTACATCTAAATAATATGGACGCTTGAAGGGTACACGGGCAACCTCCCAACGTCTCAATTAAAAGAAAAGAAAACAAACAGTCAAGATTGTCATAATGTTTTAATTTTAGTTTTTCTTTTGATTAATTTATAAATTTGGATCCAAAATCTTTAATGAGGTGGACCTAAAAAATTATATAAAAAAAATTTATAAAAAAAATTAGCAAAACCCCTAACAAATTTCAAAGTATTTTGATCAATTTATTTTTTTATAAATTATTTTTTGTATTTATTTTATCCCCAACACTTCCAAACGTTCATGTCTATCTAATAATCCAATAACGAGAACAATTTTTAATTAAAATATGTGGCCATCTATTTATTTATTTTCTATACAAGTAAGATACATCTAAATTTTGCTAAAAGAAATAGTTTTCGTATCGAAAACCTTATACTGACTTAAAATTTTATATTCAACTTTATCATAAAATTTCAAAACCTAAAGCAATCGAACACATGTACAAACACGTAAAAATCTTGAAAATAGATGGTCGGCATGATCGTAAATTTTTTGAAAATAGATGGCGGGCAAGATGGACTATTTCTTTATAGGGCAAGCTTTCTATGCTTCCCCTACAACATAGAAGTTTTATCTTCCCCTTTATCCAACCGTCCATTTTGAATGGAGGATTAAGATTGCCCTAATCACAATGTCATGTCTTTACACTATTTTATTTTTAATTTTTTTCTATAAACTATTTTGACACCAAATTTTGAACGTCCATTCCTACATAGCAAAAAATATAAAAAAAATATTTTCAATACAATAAAACGATTTAAAAATTTTAAGGAGAATTCATTATATTTTATCAAAAAATTATTTTTAATATTTTTTTATAGATGCACCTCAATGAAAAGATGACACGTATCTAATTTTATATTCATATAATTTATATAAAAAAAACTAAAAATAAAATACTTTGAAACGTCGGATCTAAAATCAAACGGTGAACGGCTCTCGTCATCAAAATTGGACGACTAGGGGGTCGGGGGAGGATACACCTTGTATGCTATGGGGGGAAGCATAAAAAACCTTTCCCTTCTTTATATCCATATATTAAGGGCAAGATCATGTACTGGAACGTAACTTTTGAGGGGCAACTCTAAGACGAATAGATCACCTTCAACGCCTTACTGTCCCTACCGTTCCTTACTTTGAAACGGGCCTGGCCCTTACACTGACCGCATCCGCCATTTGGAGCTTCCTGGTCCTCTCGCAGTCAGCATTCTCAAACCCTAACTTGCTCTGTCTTCGGCATTTGCAAATTCAAGGTGTGTTTTCGATCGGATTACATGAGATTTATGCGATATTTTCATTTTCGTTTTTCTAGGTGAACTTTTCTCTAATCTGCTGCCTTTTACTATTTTTTTCTTTCTACTCTTTGTTTTTATTTTTCTGCAATAATAGCACGCAGTTCTTTTGCTTTATAATTTCGTTTACAGTTAGAAAAACCAGAGCCTAACTTTCAGATTTCAAGGAATGATACTTTCCCCTTAGATTTTAGAGTCACAAATATGGGGGAAATGAGAAAATGCAGTGGTATCAAAGGTGCTGAGGTTGACTTCTGCTATTAATGGAGGTTCTGGTTGCTGTATTCAACTATGGTTATATAGTGATGAATCTTAACACTTCCTAGATACTTCGAAACCAGTAGTTCTGATTTTTTCTAAGCACATTGTATAATTGGACTCCAAAAAGCGGGCTTACTGATGCCCTTAAGGATATTGCAATTTGGATCCAATGTTAGGGAAATTATTGATCAAAGGCACTGAGATATCACAGGCTTATTGAAGAAGTAGAATTATTATTATATACCTTCCATTCTAAAGATTGTATGGAAGTTTCCATGAAATCACAGTCACATCATTTTTTTTTTCCATGAATCTTGTTCACTTCTTGCAAATATGATTATTTAGTCTCCATGAAAATAGTGAGGGACAAAGTCAGATAGGATTCACAATGTTTCTAATTGTAAATGCTGCTATAGGAGGTTGGGCATATCTCAGATACCTACTGTATGGCACCAATGACAATCCAAACTCTGATGGAACTGACAATGTTGGTAATATTTGAAAGGGGATTGCCTTATAAATGTGTTTCAGGCTTTGGAAGAAAATTATGGCCATGCCTTGCTGGCTTAACAGGTTCTACCATGTCTGTGTATGTGTGGTATTTATGGATTTAATCTGTACATCCTTAAAGCTATTGTCTTTAAGAGAAATATAGCTGGTCAAGTATGCTAAAGTAGAATTTCCTGATCTTAGGAAGCTTGGTAGTGCATTCCAATGCTTTGAAGGAACCACGCATCTTGATCTTGTAACGCGTGGATTGAAATCACTTTACAGTGGCATAAATTTTCACACGGATGCCCATTTGGGTGGTCTAAAATTCAAATCGAAGATCTCTCTACAGCCTTTGTTGCCATTATTTTCTCGTAATTTGGTTGTTTCAAACTTCAATGTGGTCATTTATTTTCTGGGAAAATCAGAGATTGATATATTTTTCTCTAGAATGTTAAGTTTCTTTCTTTGATTACTGAGTCCTTTATTGTAATTGGATTTTGTTTGTGGTTTCTTTATGTTATTGGGTTTCTTAAATGTAAGTTCCAATCCTAGTTGGTTTGAAAACCTTTTGAGTTGGATAATTTCCTAGAGTCTTTAGGAGTTTTTCTTCATGCTTTTAAGAGTACAAGAACTCTCTATAAATACCTATGTAGGCCTTTTCCAATTCATTCGAATTTGAAGTTCATTATAAATATTGAGTTGTTTCTATAAATATGCATGTAGCCCTCACAACATATTGTACCACCGTCCACAACCCATGACCTACACCTTAAGCCTTCCCAATCTAAATTATCCCTGATCTCGCCTTATTCCCTTTGAATCCATCAATTGTCCTTGTTGGACCTGCAATTTTTAAAATAACTTCAACCTCCATAAAACACTGTAAATCTAATCTTAGGTAATGGCCCAATCATAATAAATCTTTGTTGTCAGCTTAGCTTCAATCCTACCCAATCCTATTCAAATTAGGATTCCTAATTCTGCCCCATATCCTTTTTTCCAAGCCCAACTCATGTGTCACACTTGTGGAGGAGCTGAGCCCCATACCCCTACCTATTTTGGTATCAAAGCAAGTTGTTCCTTGGGAGTTGGCTTTGAGTTCAGCCATTTCAACCCAAATGGGTCTAACATAGTTGTTATGGGTGGCTGCATGAGCAGAAGTAGGAGCCTGGGTTCGACTCATGGCTCAACCTCCCTATCTTGAAAGCATCTGGGACCATTGTTTAGGGAATGGACCTGGATGTGGTTTGATATATGTACCATATGTATATTGGGTTGCTTGAGGAGCACTATATGTTTGTGTTTATAATTTTATATTTTAAGGTTATTTAAAAAATTGGAAATGGTACCGTGGTGCAGGTTGTTCATAGATGACATAGTTTTGATTGATGAGACCTGAAATGATGTCAACACAAAGTTAGAACTTTGGAGGGATGTTCTAAAATCCAAAAGTTTTAAAATTAGTCGGAGTAAAACAGAGTATATGGAGTGCAAGTTTAGTAATAATAGGAGTAGAGACAAGGAAGTAGTTAATATTGGTGGCCAGGAAGTACTAAAAAGATCACACTTTCAATATATTTGGTCGATAATCCAAGAAAATTGAGAGATCGAGGAAGATGTCGCACACAAAATTAGAGCTGGGTGGGCGAAGTGGAGATCTGCAACTGGAATTTTATATGATCGCCACATACAAATGAGGTTGAAGGACAAGTTATATAGGATAACAGTGAGACCAACTTTGCTTTATAGGGCAGAATATTTGGATGACAAAAAACAATATACTCATAGAATGAGTGTAGCGGAGATGAGGATGTTGAGATGGACGAGTGGCAAGACAAGTAGGGATAAAATTCGAAATGAATCTATTTGAGAGAATTTAGGCGTGACACCAATAGGCGATAAAATGAGAGAGAATAGACTTAGGTGGGCTGGCCAGGTGTGGCGTTGATCAAGTACAACACCTGTTAGGAGGTGCGAGTGAGTTCAAGACTTCAAGTGGAAGGACTGAAAAGAGCAAGGGATAGGCCCAAAAGGACGTGGTTGGAAGTTGTCCGAAAAGATATGAGGACTTATGGCCTCACTGAGGATGTGGCCTATAATAGAGCAAAATGGAGAACCAAGATTCATATGGCCGACCTCAATTAATTGGGAAAAAGCTAAGATGATGATGATGATGATGATGATTTGAAAAATTGAGAAATGTGATGAAGTTGTTCAAGTACTTGGCAGTGAAAGCAGTCTCTACACTTGGACCAAGCACTTCACAACATATAAGAACTCTTCTAATTGAACAAGATCGACCTCACACTAGAGCACAAAGGAGTAGAGGAGCTGCTGAGTCTAGTTGCACTCGCACATTAGCTTCAGAGGTCGAGGAGGAAGCTGACTCAGAGGAGACCGATGAAGAAGAATACATGGAGGCCGTCGAGGATGATATTGATGATGCGCATGACGACTCTCAAGATGACTTGTCAGATTGATATTTGAAAAAATGAAGTTCAAATTTCAAAATTGACTTTCAAAATGGATAATTGAATTAAGTTATTAACTATTAACTCTTCTTGAGCTTGACTTTTGGTTTGTATTTTGTGATATCACTATTTTGTGCTTATGGTTGTACTTACGGTTGTTGATGGTTGTGCTTATGGTGCAAATTTGTGCGTATGGTTGTTGATTGTTGAATGCTTTATGAAGCTGGTTTCAAGTTTCTAATTTCTATCAGGGGATAGTGGATAACTTGATACAGAATCTCCAACAGCTAATAGTTTTGAAGTTAATCATTAAACTAAAATACCTACTATCACATATATCACCTTCATATTTTTTTCTATGCATTAACTTATTTTTTTAGATTTTTTAGAATTTTTTTATATTTATTGACCGCATCATCGCGATGCACATCATCGCGATGCACCCGCATCTGAGCCGCATCTAGCCGCAACGCAGCATTGGCCCCCACCGCATCAAGGCCGCATCCCGCATTTTAAAACACTGGTTTGTGCATGCGTCTGTGCACCATGGAGCACGAACCTTTCTCTCTTGGTCAAGGCTAAAGGTATCTCAACTCCCTTATATAGGTTTGTCTCTCTAACAAATTGGCCTGCTAGGAGAGAGTGCTAATCTACGCAAAGGGCAAGTACGTGAAAGACTTACAGGTCCTTTGTAAATTGTTCTGTTGCTAAGGCGTTCTGCTGTCTCGATTAATCTGTATGAATCTAAGGAAATGGTCTAACTTGCCACATGAGTCCCACAAAGCATTCAAAGCTTTGTTGGCAAGTTGAAGAATTGCTGGACGAGGCTCTGTTTGTGAGAGTCTGTGGCATTCGTGCCTAGAACTTACCTTCTACACTCCTAAGAAAGATGGCATGCGGAATGTGTATAGCAGTAAGGTTTCAAAATGGAGAGAGTGGGATGTGTTTGTTCCTATTCCTCTATCAATATGTATTGATGCTGTACTTTAGGTGTTAGCAAGCAAGTCCTTTTCTTTGAAGGGTTGTTAACAAGAAAGTTAATATGCTTTTCTTTAAATTGTTGAGCATGATTTTGGAAAGGGCTAAAGAAAACAAAGGTTTTAAGTTGGGACCCACTAAAACTCACTTCAAAATTCAAAGGGCGAGTCTTCTGCAAATTGGGGAGATGATTCAGACCAGGAGCCATAACTTTTCACTTAAATATTCATTTTGGTTATCCCAAACTCAAATTGAAGATCTCTCCTAGGTTTACAGCTTCTATTTTTGTGATTTTTCCCTAATTTGGATGTTTTAGGCTTCAAATCTTGGTCAAAAGTCTGCTGGAAAAATCAGCGACAAATTTACTTTCCTTAAAGTGAGAAATTGCACTCATGTTATTGTTGAGTCTTTATTGTAGTTAGTTTTTGGTTTTAGTCCTTGTATGGGGGCTTATACCTCACTGAGAGTATGACCCTTGATAGAGCAAAACGGCCGACCAGAATTTGTGGGGTGGAACCTCAAATAGTTGGGAAAAGGCTTTGATGATGATGATAATGATGTTATTCGGTTTCTAAAAAGTAAGATTCCAATCCTAGTTGGATTATAAATCTTGTTGGATAATATCCTAGAATCTTTAGGGATTTGTTTTGTATGCTTTAAGAGAATCCAAGTACAGGATGAATAGAACTTGGAACTTTCGGTATTTGCCAATGTAGGCCTTCGCCAATTCATTTGAAATTGAAGTTGATAAATAAAATTGAGTTCTTTTGGTGGTGTGAGCCATCTTTGGAGGAGTGATTACTTCGACTCAAGGGGATTCCTTGTAGCTTAAGATTGAGAGGGTCCCCCGACAAGTTAGAGCCTTCTTATTTCCCTCTTATGTGGCATATACCTCTGCCCAAGACTCCCTACAACCAAATTTATCCCCATCAAATTGACCCTTCCCAAGTGTTAACAACATAGCCCACTACCTTCCCAGACCCATGAACTATCCCTCTAAACCAATTAGCCGTAATCTTCACCTCATTCCCTTCAAATTCATCAATCATTTTCACTGGACCTTCAATTTTCCAGCAACTTCAACCTCCATAATCATCTAGATGTAGTTCTACTTATTGCCCCCATCATAACAAACCCTTCCTCCTACCTTAGCTTATTTAGACTTCATTGTCCCCACTTATTTGAGTTGGAGCCCCCCAATCTTACCCCAAATCTTTTCTTTCTGACCCTAGGTCATGTATTTCACTCAGGTAGGGAACCAAGTCCCCTTGGTCCTGTCACACGTGATGTGGGAACAATCATGTGGGAGAAAGCGTCAAATAAAACACGATTAATTATGTACCTTTAATTGCCCCTTGGGCCCAACATGGCATTTTATGAGCCATTGGGTCCTGTTGTGATTTCCATTTTGGGTCCTTCAATAAGTAATTTTGGTACTACTAGTTGTTATTGGAACATGGTTGGCAATGATTGAGCCAATGTGTGAAAGTTTGATTACAGGGTTAATTCATTTCTCACTGTTGACAGATGCACAGATGTGAAACTTAATCCTCGACATGAATCTGATTGCATTTTATAGTTGACTACTGAAACTTGATGATAGAAAATTGAATTGCTCAACATGAGTGCGTTTCTGTTTGAAACTTTAAAGGCAGGGAAGTGTCCTTGCAATCACAATTAGTTGTGGTTGTGGGGTATGGACCAGTCTCATACCCTCGTTGTTGTGTCAATGACATGTTAAGTTGTGTCCATTCGTATAGTGGAATGGCCACTGGGGAGTCTAAGGGTGAAACGCGCTGGACTTAGAAAGAGATTACTTGAAAAAGAAAAAACTAAATAATGGATTTTTTTTTAAGAAATAATCAAATAAATAAGAAATTGGGGATATACTTGAGTTATGATGTTAAAGTATGGTGTTTCTGGAGAACACGTTGAAGACCTTTCTTGTCTTTTTTATAGTTATTGGCATCTTATGTATTTACTTATGTATTGCACATGTGGATTATGGAAACACTGCTCAGTTTCTAGTACCGTTTCATTTCACTGTTGTGAATTAGATTGTGCTGCCTGCTTTTTGTAATGTTGATTGCTAAAATATAACCAAAAAGTTGCACATTTGCTTTTATATAATGTAATTTAATGTATTAGAGAATATACATAGACATGTTAGAGCTGCCTATATTCTCTTTCTTGGCCCATTTCATGTTTTAGTTCTTTTCTAATGAATCATGCCGAATTTAAATTTATGATCCTGGGGGCTGGTCAACCATAACTACTGCACCTGGCCTCATCAGAACAGCGACGTTCTGCTTACTTGGTGGAGCAGTGTTGTGGTAAGACATCTCATGGAGAGCCCTTCTCACAATACGCACTATTCCAAAAAAAGATGCTCCTGGAATATGCAATGCTGAGTATTAGCCCTTGCTTCAATTCTGGCTTGATTTGTTTTTTCATATTTGTCGAAATAACAACTAGAGGTCTGACTTGTTATCATTCTTGTGCTTTCTTATGGTCATGGTTATATTATAGAAACTCATACAAGGATCATGATCTGGTGCAGCTTGTAGTTCAATGGCTGGTACAGGAAACTCTATGCTATATTCGTTCCTTCTGTTCATCTTGATACTCTCCCTTCAAGAGATGTATCGAGGAAAACTGGCATCTACCGAGTTATTTACAATCCTTGGTGGTCTTATAAGCTCTCTTATATTCCTCGTCTTGCTAACTGTGAGTTCTTTAGTATTCTCTTTCTTGAATTTATCGAGTCCAATTTGGCTGCTTGTTTACTTTATGTTTTTGTTTCAACATTTCTTGGCGGTCTTAGAGCCTTCATCATATTTTCTGTCTTGTGACTACGAATTATTTCTGTATTGTGACTACGAATTCTTAGTTCTTACTTTTAGCTTTTATTCGACGAATTGTATGTTGCTTGTTTCTTTCATGTCTTCTTTCTGTCTAAGAGTAGCTCCATACATATTTATGGACTCAAATTTTATACTCAGATCCACAAGTTTGCCAAAATTAGCGAGCATTTATGGATGTGTTTGATATAGTCAATTTTCCATTTTTAACAGTAGGAAGAGGTTATGGAGCAATTTGCTAATCCCTTATCTATTTTTCATTCTTCTAATATTACTGAAAGTCTATGTAATAATGACTTATGTGTCGCATGCATTTGGGAGAATCTGACATGCCAACATACTAGGCTTACCTATCAACACTCAAGATATGTGTATGGACCCCTGATATCTACGTTAACATGCATGTGTGGATATTTCCATTTTTTGGAATTGCAGAGTGTTGGCTGCTATGTGTACAGCTTGAATCCATAGACTGGACAAACAAGACATGCATGTCATTGTAAGACTAGGGTAATTGCATTTTGTGACACACATGCTTGTTTTGTGAGGCACGCATGAGCGCATGTGTCTTATGATTTGGACAAGCGTGTATTTGATTTAGATCAACGTGTTCTATTTTTATAAGTTAATTTTATTATTAGAATCTCAGATTAATTTTTTATACAAATATATATAGACATGTCTGCATCGCATGGACGTGTCGTACTGCACTTGGTAAATATAGGTAGGTGAGTCAGTTTCTTTAGATCCAAGTCAGACACAGATTCTTCTATCTGAGTCCTTTTGACATAGCAAATGGTTGGCAATACTAGTTTAAAACTGATACGATACTGTACAAAAGAATTAGGTGAATCTAATTGTGGACCATATTTATGAATCTAATTGTAATCAAGTGATTACATAGTTTGTTTTTATTTTCTGATCTCCTGGTTAGCCCAAGGTCAAATAATTTTACCAAGAATTGTGCTATGCTTACAAAAACGAAATAGATAATAAAAGGCTTTGAAAGTTGAATATACTAGGGAATTCAAAAAATAATAAAATGCAAAGCAGTTTAGAAAAAAACAGGACCTCTGCCAAGAAAATAAAATAGAAAAACAATATCTCCCTAACAGGCGATTTCAGAGATTTGAAAAGAAAATATTTCCTTATCTGGTTATTTCAGCAAAGCAACTCTTTGCTGTGTGATTTAAGATAAGTGTAGAAAAACTACAAGTAATTAATATGTTAATAGAAAGTGAGAAAAGTAATTTCTAAGATCTCCTTATCTTACAAATTTAAAGCAATAAACAAATAGTGCTATGTAATTAATAAAAAAAGTCCAGATCCTTGCTGTCTCCTTATAGGGGGAAGTTCATACAGCTTCTGAGAATGGACATGAGTTGTAGTTGCATGTATAGCTCATCAAGGCTCTGTTGGAAACTTGGAACATACCAATTAAAATTAATGTCATTCTCCCTCCATCATTAGTGGTGACAAACGATGCAGCTTAGTGACTTTGGTCAGTCCACTTACGTAGAATATGCTGGCAAATCCTTCCCAAATTTGCCCCCCAAAAAAAAATGAAAAAAAGTTTTCACATATTTCCAAATAACTATCTTTCTTAGTGGAGTTGTTGGGCGGTCCAAACAGGGCCTAAGCCTTGTAGCTTGCACTACTTGGTATAATTTTCCTGTTAGCCAATGGGCCTTGTCCTTCCAAATCATGGATTGATGATTTTATTTTGCATGCATACAGTATTGAATATGGAGTGAATTATCAAAAAGAATATATCAATTATGGAGATAGGCCACTATCGAAAGGTCTTGTTTAATATATCAATTATGGTGGGTTGCAGTCAACTAACTTGCATATTTCTTCCTGTAGTTTATTGGGAACTTTCAAGAGTTGTGTGGCATGAGAACTGGGTGGGGTACTGGTAAGTGCACTGTTATATTGCTTAGTTTTTGTCATTTTGAGTCATACCATGACATTTGCTCAGTTTTCTCACTTGGTACCCTTCACTGTCCACAGTACTCCTAGCGGAATCTGTTGCTCTACTTGCTGCTGGCACTGTTCATCGTGTCTGTATTACAACGTGGTATGAATAGCATTATTTAGAGCTCCTTGCCTTTTTGAGAGTATCATGATCTTGATTATATTACCCTACGTCTTTTACCAAAGAGTTTTACTAGTTAACATTATGGGACATAAAATTCTGGCTCCATTATTTCCTCTTCATTTGCCATATTGTGGACCTATGTTTCGCAATTGGTGTGTGATATTTCTGACAGTATGTTATGTGTAGCTAATAAAAACCTGTTTCCCCCACAAACGTCCATATTTCTTGCATTTATGGTAATTTGCCATGGATGTGTTGTATTTGGCGGTACAATTTTTGCATTTGTATATTGTGCATTTATGCACATAACTCAGGTTAACCTCGCAAAATTTCTTGTTTTTGAGAAATTGGATAAAAATTAATTATTAAAATATTTAATCTAAATGAAGCATTAACATATTATTTTTTAACGTTTTTAACTTGAAGTCAATAATTATTAAAGGTTGAGGTTTATATAAGAGGCACCCTCCTTATATTGTAGAAGTAAGGCACACCTTTATATTTTGCATGGAGATGTAGTTCCCCTGTCGGAAACCATATGATGGCATGAAAATGTATTTCATCCCTAGTTATGAATTTAAAAGTTCAAAATTGGTACAAAACAAGTAGATCTATAAACACTAGAAAATCTTGAAAATAAGACGGTCCAGATAATTTGTTCCAAGATGCACTATTTCTAGGTCTTGAAATTCTTCTGTTTTTTCCCTTCGTATTCATACATCTTGAGGTCGAGATGATCAATTGGAGGGTTTTTTAATGTTGGAACACTCTCAATTAGAGGTTTTCTAGGACTTGAAATTCTTCATTTTTTCCCTTCATAATCATATAAGTTGTGTGTGTGTGTGATGTGTGCATGCATGCGTGTCTGTCCTTTTTGCGTTTTTATAGTACCTTTCCTTTTTGTGCTATATATGAGTTTCTATGCGTTTCACATGACCTTACAGCTGTATCTTGTTGTCATTGCATGCTGTTGCATTCTCCTGTCATATGTCGATTGCAGAAACTGAACCTAGAAGGGTTAATGTTCCTTGAGACAGAGAGGAACTGAGCTGAACCTAGAAGGGTTAATGTTGTTTGACACAGAGAGGAACTGATGTTTATTCCTAAGGTTCTTGTCTCCTTTTCCTGGCAACGTGATCATGGACTTGGTGCCTTGTTGCAGTCAAACCTGTGTTAGTTGTTAACTGTACATAACTACATATCACTCTTGTGCATTAGTTGCAGTATAGATTGAGAATTAGATATTTGCCTCTAAAAGTGGTCATTTTAGGTTCTTTCTGTTACAGCTCTAAATTGATTTTGGGAAAGGTTGGGATTGCAAAGACTTGATTGGATTGTGCTTGGACTTGGGATACAATCTTTTGAGAAGAGGAATCAATTTTCATGAATTGAGAGTATAGGTATGTAATAATCCTGAAATTTCAAAAAAAAAAAAAAAAGAAGAAGATGAAAAGAAACTTTTAATACATGATGATTCGTTTGAACATGATGGTCCTTAGGGACCATCACTACTTTTAAAAGCTTTTGGTTTAAAAGCTTTGTTGCTTCCTTGCTCTTGCCACGTCCACTAAAGGACGTGGGCTTTAGGCGTTTAAAGCGTAAGTTAACGCTCACACTTGTAACGTAATAAAAGAATAAAATAATATGTTAGTAGAATTTAAATTCGGAGAGGTGAGGACTCCTACCTTAGAAAACTTCTGAGATTTTTCTCTCTCTGGTCGAAACACAGTGAACTCCTCTCTCTAGCCGAATTTTTATCGGAAGCTCCCTCTCAAATATTTTGTGTAAGTGATCGCATTCTTCTGAAAAATAGCCAGTTTTCAATAGAATAGTGATATTTCTATCCAATATCTTTATTTAATTAGTTTTATGTGTAGTGACATCGTCTTCCTGAAAAATAGTTTGTTTTTAATAAATAGTGATA